AGGGAATTTTAGTGGGGTTTTTAAGGGTAATTTTAAGGGTAATTTTAACGATTGGCCTTTACGAATATTTTCTTTTAATTTGGTTTTAATATGGATATTTATTGTACTGTTGTTTTATAAGGCTGTTAGCCGCCCTGAGTCCGGTGAGGAGAAGGGCGGGATACAAATTAAATTATAAATAAATAAATAAATAAATAAAACCTCTCCTTGATGTGAATCAATGAATCAGAATAGAGCTGGAAGGGACTTTGGAGGTCTTCTAGTCTAACCCCTGCTTATACAGGAAGCCCTATTGGCTGTTCATTTGATATAGATTTCAAAAGTATGGTTTGCTTTGATGAAGGTAGATGTGAAGTTCCCATTTGAAACAGCTTTATAAAACTTTGCAAACTATGAAACCTTTACCAGAGATGCAGATATGTCATTATACAATAGTGTAGGAATTGGGTTTCTGTTCATGCACTATGGGGGATACTGGCCCTTATATGATGTAAAACATTTCAGTAAACAAAAGCATATTGTCCCCATGTCCCCATGAGCCAGAGTATATTTTTTTTCTGTAGGTCCCGTTTAGGTGAATTGTGCTGCCCTTTTTGGGATTTAAAGTGCATATTTTTGCAATGCAGAGTAAATGATGCATGCATATTATATGAACGTTCATTCTCTTTTGAAGCATGAAATCATGAATGACTAAACATTTTATCATACTTTGATTCAAGTACCCATGCACCCAAAATATACTTTGATTTCCATTATTCTTTTTCTACTTCTGCTTCTATTCCTACTTAAAGAGCAGTTGTCGTGCTTCTGTAAAGTTCAGTGTTGGTAGCCACTCATTCTTCTCCAGGAGTATTACGAACTTTACTAGTAGGAAGCTTGACAGTGGGGGATATACTGTGATTTGATATACGCAGTTGTGAGATTAAAACTTGTATTGCATATTTTTCATGTTTACAGTCCATTTGCAATTCATAACGAATGGATGGTTTTTAATATGATATCGCCAGGCAGCAATTTATTTTGTGTCAGTTTCTGAAATCAGTGCACTGCAACCCACAAATGATGATCATTTTCTTTTTGCAGAAGAAACAAGTGAGTCAAACAAAGATTCGAGTGATCTCTACCATTCTTTTCATCCTGGCCGGATGCATTGTTTTTGTCACCATTCCAGCTGTCAGTTTCAAATATATTGAAGAATGGTCAGTCCTGGACTCTTTCTATTTTGTCGTCGTCACTCTGACCACAGTTGGCTTTGGGGATTTTGTGGCAGGTGAGACATTCCAACAGTTGATTGATTGTTTGATTGATTAATTGAAGTGAACTATTGTATGTCTCATTTATCAAGAGTAAATCTTACTGACCTGGCTTACAAGTAGCGTGTTAAATTTGTAGGGATGAAAACTACAATATTAACTCATAAATATCTGCTTTTGTCAATTAAGTGAAGATATGCTTTCAAATTGGAAACTGAAGGCATATAATTGTTTTGAAATTATTTTTTCTAGCCAGTAATAAGAAAAAAAAAAGATAGGGGAAGGGAAATTACATTTGTGCTCTTGCGAGCTTCTGCATTGAAAACAACATATTGGATTAAATGTGATATGATTCAATTTTGATATGAATCAGAGGTTATTCTGATCCTCTTATTTCTATTGCCATTTAATTTCCATTTCTTTCACTGGGTTGCCCATGAGTGTCACAAACTGTCCTTTCTGTTACTCTCCCAATATTGAAGGTAGGAAATAATGAGAAAAAATAACAAATATCCTTGGTTTTTTGACTGTTGTACTGGGGGCATTTACAGATACCTTTATTCCTAGGGAAATGCTACTAAATATTAGCTAAATTACTCATTATGAGTGAGATTCCAAATATTAACAGTAAAAGGAAGGATTTTTCAGAAGCAAATGTCCATATCTGCTGTAAGAAATAAGAGTAGTAACACAAGAACCAGGAAATCTCACCTTAAAGAGTGCTATTTGCTCAATAAAGATCAGGTGCCTTTTAAGACCATCAAAATAAAGCCAATTTCCATGAACTAGGAAAGGCAGGAGAACATAAACTTTGGCGTATAATGCATTTCTGTGTATATGGCTTGACTTCTGCCCACAATAATAAAGGCAGCAGACAGACAGACAGACAAAAATTGTGTTCTGCCTGGAAAACCAATGTCTAAGGATGAAATACTGGAAGAACAAAAGATTTACAGTTCTCTGTGTGTAAAGTTCAATGGCCTGTGACTGCTAAATTTGCCCATTTACTCTTTCCAAAATTATGGGAGGAGAGGCTTTGCCTAGAGAATGATACCAGCTCTCTTGCAATGCCACTGACTGTAGATTAAGTTACCAGCGCCTTGCTCCAGTATAAGAACCAAGTGTCAATCCCAATGGATGTATTAAGACATATCAGCTAACTCAATGGGTAGCTGAGTTAGCTACAGTGTCAGATTCAGTCAGTTTGCACCAGTTTGGCAGAACTGGTAGCTAATTTTTTGTTGCCTAGGCCCAGAATGGATTTCCGGAACCGGCATCCACACAGAGAACTGGTTGTTCACATATTTGAATCCCACCACTGGTTAGCTGATATGTCCTAATCATAGGCAAATACTTGATGGTCCCATATCAGTCCCCATCCAAGGCCCTATAGCTATTGATATTTGATGCCAATCACTAACTGTCCTATTTGAAACATAAAATAAGAATCTGGAAAGGTGTACTGCCCTTTTCACTCGATGTGTGTTAAGACCTAAAGATTCCCATTGATTTTTCTTGCATAAGGTTATAATTGACCTGATAATTGAGAAAGTTGCGAGATGGACATTCCCTCTTCAAATGTAGCACAAGAGTTTGGACTTGGATATCCATATACTTTTGTGATAATTATGATAATTATCAGTGATCCTGTTCAATAGGTAATCTACTATATCACCTCTGACAGGAGAAGTGTTCTATGCAAATTCATGCAACTGATTCCAAATCTCTAGTACGTTGCTTGGGAGCAGTAAGTGATCACAAGCCACAGTCAGAATCCATAATTGTGCAGGTTTTGTAAGGATGTTCTTTACTCAGTTGATTTATAATTGTCCTCAGTGAGCAAAGAACCTATACCTCGAGCAGTAACAATTAGTTCACATAGACACTTAACAATTTCTCTAATTACAGAATCAAATTGTCTCCCAAATATTGTTGCCTGCCCTGCAATATTTTATATCAACTAAAGCTTGTAAATGACCTTCAGGGGCAGCCTTGAGGAGAGGATGTTATGAATGTATGAATGACTGTCATCAAGGGTTGCCACTCTAGGAATGGTTGCAACTATACTTGAGCAAAAGCCCTTCTAGCCACAGTTGTCACCTGCTCAGCAAAGCATAACTGTGAGTCTAGAGAGCCTGCAAATTGTGAGCTAGCTTGGAGCAAGGGAGTACAATTCTGTTCAGACACAAAGATGAAATTTCCCTGAAATGGTTAGGTTCACAAACCCAAAGCCACTTGGTTTTGGAGAAGTCCAGTCAGAGTTTATTCCTCTCAGTCCAAACCCTGACAGCCTCTAAGCATTGGATTGCACTTCCACCATCAATCACTTGTTCAGCTTGGGAACAATGTATAACTGGATATCATCAGCATAATGATTATATTGAACTCCAGGCTGACAGGTACCTTATCTTGAAATTGGAAAGAATAGAGAGAGAAAAGCTCCCTGAGGCACTTCATCGAGTGGAGATGTCTAGGCAGATGGAACAGTGTTCCCCCACTCCAGTCCCTTGGAGAAGATAACCATGGTCAATGGTATCAAAAACTGCTGAGAGATCAAGAAGAACCAGAAGGATTGTGCTTTCTTGATCCAGTTTCTCCATAAGTCATCCAAAAGTATAGCCAGGTAAAATTGTGTAAAATAGAATGAGAGAAGGCTTCTTAAGCAGGAGCACACTACAAGCTACTTTACAGTGGAAGGAGACATCCTTTTGCTCAGAGAACCATTGATTACTACTTCAGTAGCAATGGCAATAGCACTTAGACTTATATACCACTTTGCAGTGCTTTAGAGCCCTCTCTAAGTGGTTTACAGAGTCAGCATATTGCCTCCAACAATCTGGGTCCTCATTTTACCGACCTTGAAAGGATGGAAAGCTGAGTCAACCTTGAGCCAGTGAGAATCGAACTGCCGAACTGCTGGCAGCTAGGAGTCAGCAGAAGTAGCTTGACTCCTGTCACATTTAGCCCAAACATTCATTTGAATTCATTGTAGTAGACAAGGAGAAAGGGGAAAGGAAATGTCTACAAATATCTCATGTGGAATCATTCAGGTAATAAGTTGGATCTTCTAAAGCAGATTATAAAAAGATACATTTGTGAACAGTGTAAAAATATGATAAACTTGAGAAATCAGCATGGCTGTGTCAAGAAACAAATCTTGTCAGATCAATCTTTTCTCAGTTTTTGATTGGATTCCTAAATGAGGAGGGGGTAGCTGCTGTCAACCATGAGACTCTGCTGGCATAAAAAAAAACTATCCCTAGTTGATGCAACTGGGCCCAAACTAGACCTTGTTGATGCAACTGGGCCCAAGAGGTAAATGGCTGATGGATCCTGCTAGTTTTCAGAGTTTGGGGACTTTCTTTATTTGTGGTTCACCCTAATTACACACTGGAATAAAAGGGCATCCAGAATAAAAGTGCTGGATTTGATTGTGCTGGAGTGGCATTTGCTGCAGAGTGGCATTCGTGACAGGAAACTGGACTGAATTAGCTATAGTAGTGCAGTGGTTAGAATGCCATACTGCAAGCTACTTCTGCTGACTCTTAGCTATCAGCAGTTTGGCAGTTCGATTCTCACTGGCTCAAGGTTGACTCAGCTTTCCATCCTATCAAGGTCGGTAAAATGAGGACCCAGATTATTGGAGTCAATATGCTGACTCTGTAAACCACTTAGATTAGATGGAGTGACAAGAGGCAACCAATTACGAAAACCATAAAATAAGCAAGCTCTGTAGTGGAATTATTTTTCATTTGCAGTGTTTCTGTTTAAAGCTATGGACTTGGAAGGAACTCCTTTCCACTTTCCTAACAAGATGGTATACACTTTTATCTAGAAAATCAGGAAGAAAGCAGCATCTTGTATTCTGCACAACATCTCATTTGTAGGATTCTAAACTAAAATTCATGAAAGTTACTCTGCTGTCTGAGATACAGAATAATACTGGTCAATGGCAAAATAATCTAAGCACTGATGAAATGAATGATTAAAATAGTGATTCAGAAACATAATGAAGAATAGTTCCATCTTTCCTTTAAAAACACAGTTTATAAAATATGAAATATCTTAATGGCACAGTGGGAGAGAGCAACACAAAACCTAAATTTGATTTCATTTCATTTACATTTAAGTGTAACTAAAATAACTAACNTAACTAACTAACTTGATTGTTTTCCAGGTAAATATTATATGATTTCCCTCTACTGTCTTACTGCTATGTACTGTATGATGGTAGCTTTTGAAGGATCTCATCTAAAACTTTCAGCGATTAGATGGAGTGTTTGAGCCTTGGGCTATACACTCCTGCAGTAGATAATTGACATTTGCAAATTTATACCAGAATCAACTTCTTTATGTTTATTGGTTTGGAAAGGAATTTGTCCTGTTAATTTGTTGGCAGCAAGGAAGAAAAATGACAATGAAACACAAAAATATTGCACTGGCTTAGCTGGAAAGTAGTAGCATTTATTTTATAATGTCTGCTTATTCCGTGCAATGTATCACTGTTAACTGTTTAGTGATTTTCCCCTGGGACATGTGATACATGATCAGAAGAACATCATCAGCTCATAGAAACAAGGGCACAGCTGCTTGCCCTTTGTTATACCTTGACAGCTGTAAAGCCATAACAATACATCTGTTGAAAGATAATTGAAACCAGAAGCAATATTTGAGTCTTTGCCAACCTTTCTGTGCTTGGATTTGTATATGAATCTTAAATCATTATAAGCATGCTCATATACAGGCTACTTAGAATGCACCTTAAAAGATTCATTGCAGTATTTCAAATTGCTAACAGGCTGTAAAAATGCACAAGGTCAGGGAAGTAGAAGATGAAAGACTGAACAACATTATAAAAATAATGTGCAGCTGTATTTAAATAAGTGACATTAACAGCACACACACACACACACACACACACACACACACACACACACACACACACACCTAAATTCCAAGTTCTCTTGTCCATGTATGGATTGTCCCATACATGGACGAGGCAAGAGAATTTGGAATTGATATGGTGTAGAATAAATGTAGGGGTGCCAAGTGACAGCAACATCAGGAAGGAGTATGAGAAACTGGAGAAATACCTGAAGGAGGAACTTGAGATGATGGGGCCAAGGTTGTCCTAGGGTGGTAAGAGCACTTGGGATTGTGACATCTAAACTGGAAGAGGGCTCCAGGAACAGCATCAGAGCTTTCTGTCAAGAAGAGTGCAGTGTTAACAACAGCTAAAATACTGTACAGATACTCCCAGTCCTCTGGTAGAAGATGCAAAATTTAGGAAGATATATGCCGTAAGGGTGAAAAGGGAATTTTTATATGTTTATGTAGCAGTCGGGCCCATTAAATTCAAGGAAACCTGATCCCTAGTGAATAAATGCAACAATGTAAGGCACTCCTTATCAGTGAGTAAAACTATTTTCTTAAACATATATAGGACTCTACTGCAAATAGCATTTTTTGGGGGACATGGCTTTAGATAGAAGACATTCTGCAAAATATTGTGCCGATAGCTAGCTCGTCTTCTATCAAAAATGAAAATTATCACAAAAAGGGGGAATTTCCATTGCAGGTTAATACATCTTAATATTTAGTTATAAATAAAATGAATATATTGATAATTGAAAATTTGTATCTTATTACGTATTCATGAGCAAAAACCTTTTTGTCAAAAATATAAGTGTTCAAACAGTCAACAACTTACTCTGATAATTCATTATTTTTTTGCAATAATTTTATTAAAGTTTACAAATACAAAGACAAAAAACTAATACAAAACAGAAATGCAAAGAAAAAGAAAAAATAAAGAAAAAAGATATAGAAAGAAATGACTACCTCCTCCCTCAAGATAAGTACAAACAACTTCAGTAACTTTTCACCTTCTCTGATATTCCAAAATATCTTAAAAATTCTTATTTTTTATCAATAAACAAATTGTAAATTTTCTTCAGTCCTATCATAAAATCAGTTAAATTATCAGAAATAATAACGTACATATTTTGACCTTAAATAAATCAGACTTATATTGCTTTACTTTAAACACAGTAATTTATCACTTTCTCTAAAAATATAGCAACAAAACCTTCTTCCCATATCTTATACATTATCTACAAACAACTCTTCAAAGCCTCTACAATTAGTTAAAAAAGTTAAAAAAAGATTAAAAAATTAGTTTAAAAAAGTCCATTAAGACTTACCAAAAACAATTCATATGTTTTAACTTCAATAAAATGAATCTACTTTATATTGTGTCTGTTTACCTTTAAGAAACTTGATCTTTATTCTGAGCAGCTTACATTTTAAAAAATAGAAAAAAAATTTAAAAATACCAAGACAGATCACACTTCATATGCCACAAAACACAACCAACAGAGGTTCCACTAGCATCTACTGCAAAGTTTGGAAGTATGATCAATTTTTAACAAAACCCTGAAATACCAAACAGACAAGGGCAATGCAGATTTGATATGCAAAATATCTCTGTGTGCTGACAGCACAGTATGAACATATTGTGAATGTTCATACTGAGGTGAGTTAGCCAATGGTCTTGCTTAAATATTGAAAATAATGTGGATTGGGAACAATGGAAATGATAAAGTGTAGTTTCACTTTTGAGATATGTTTGCATATCTAAATGTGTTCTTGTGATTATTGTTGTTGCCATCCTCATGGTCATCATCATCTTACCACCTTAGGAGGAAATGCGGACATCTCTTACCGGGAGTGGTACAAACCCTTGGTATGGTTCTGGATCCTCGTGGGCCTTGCATATTTTGCTGCTGTCCTCAGTATGATTGGAGACTGGCTGCGGGTTCTTTCAAAGAAGACTAAAGAGGAGGTAACTATTGACAAGTAGCTTATATTACAGGATTTTTTGTGTCATGTTATGACTGCTTTCCATTCGAAGTTTACTCCATCAGTACTCAATACAACATATAACAAATTTGGGGAAAAATCCAATATCTTAAAAAATACCTTAAAAAAGAAAATAAAACAGAGACAAGCCAAAGAAATTTAAAAACAACATTAAAACAATTAGATATGTATCAAAACTTTATCAAGAAGATTATAGACTGAGGGTCAAATTTAACTTTGAGTGCTAAAGGCTGCACTCAGAAACTGTCATTTATTGGGTACAAAAATTCTAATTGAATTCAGTTAAATTAGAAATTCATCTATTTCATCTCATGAAAAATTGATACATTGGAGTATCAGCTTTTTTTAAAAAATAATAATTTAAATTATAAATAATTTAAAAAAATTATAAATTATAAATTATAAATAATTTAAAAAAACAACCAACTAATCATGAAACTATAACTCTCAAGCAGCTAGTAAGTAATGGTATATTTAAATTTTTGAGATTTCATAAAAGGACTATAATTCATAAAGAAAATAGTAATTGTTCATTCTTTGACTCTCATGCCCTTGCAGACTCTGAAGCTTCAGGAGAATTGTGTCTCTAGGAGATTATCTTTGTTGAATCAAAACCTATGATTCTGAATTACCAACATTAAAAAAATCAGAAACTAAATTTGAAGAATATAAAAGAAATTTGGAATAGAGAATTGAATATTGTCCAATCAATGGCTTCAGGTTTTGAGGAGTGTTATATTTGTTATGACCTAAAATGCAGCAAAAATTCTCTTTAGAATCTCTTGAAGACCACAGAGAATATTCGTAGAACAATTGGCTCTGAGCCTTTTTTATGTTAGTGATGTAATAAAATACAAGGTACATGTGTTATGGGTTTGCAATTCTTTGTTGGCTATTATTACTATGGTGAACCGAATTCTTTTAAGGCAGTTAAAGATTAAAACTATTAATGTTTTGTTAAATTTTACTTTATAATTCTGATTTCAGTCTAAAAATATTAGCATATATTGTGCTTGCACTGTTGTGAAAAAGTGATTAATCAGTTCTTAGACTTTCAGTCAGATTTGTACCAAAGGAGAGTCAAGGTGGACAATCTAATTCTGTATGGCCTATATTTAACTGAATCATAATAAAAACAAATACATATACACATGTGTGTGTTTGTGTGTGTGTGTGTGTGTATATATGAGTGTGAATGAAAAGTAGCAGCCCAAATCAATCCTAGATGTTTGTTGACATCCCAGTCTAAAGCTGAGATAAATTGATTGGCCCAAAGTCAGCTTCTGTCACTAAAATATTAGAATCTGGGTCTAACTATCCAGATAGAAGTATGACAATGTTTTTAATTTAATTTTTATATTTTTAATTTCCTTCATTACTTTTGCTATTAATGTAATATGGAAATATTTCTTTATTATATAGGAAATTAGTCTGTATTCAGAAAACTGAATAACAAACAAAAGTAGTCATCCATTAAAAATCAAATAACGTTTGATTCTGCTAATTGTTCATTAATTCAATCTACAATTGGGTGAGCAATTGTTTGCTTATTTACTTAATCATTTTATATGACTGTCAACTTGCAACTCCGAGCAACTAATATAGGATTAAAATGAAAAATAATCAACAGGACAAAAAACAGCAGAGAATATAATACAACCAAAGTCAACACAATAATAGTCTCCATCAATACACAAGAGGCTCACCTGACAGGCTGGCCCAGTGCCTGGGAAAAGGTCCATGAAACAGCAATCCAAATCTCAGGGGTTAATGCTTTTCATAAACGTCCGTTTAATTCTGAATTTATTCTGAATCTTCCTCTGTTATTTTTGGTTTTCTGTGACAGGTTGGTGAAATAAAAGCCCATGCAGCGGAATGGAAAGCCAATGTGACAGCAGAGTTCAGGGAAACACGGCGGCGGTTGAGTGTGGAGATCCATGACAAACTTCAGAGAGCAGCCACCATTCGGAGCATGGAGCGCAGGCGTTTAGGTCTGGACCAGAGAGCCCACTCCCTCGATATGCTGTCTCCAGAGAAACGTTGTGTCTTTGCTGCCTTGGGCAACAGCCATTTCAAGGCATCATCTCAGGAAAGCATCAACAACAAGCCTAACAATCTGCGCCTTAAAGGATCCGAGCAATTGAGCAAACATGGGCAGGGGGCGTCTGAGGACAACATCATCAACAAGTTTGGTTCTTCATCCAAGCTGACCAAAAGGAAAAACAAAGACCTGAAAAAAAGTATCCCGGAAGATGTGAGAAAAATCTACGAGACCTTGCGGCACTACTCCTTAGATGAGGAGGAGAAGAAGGAGGAGGAGGAGGAGGAGGACTTGGAGAAGGTGTGTCACTCGGCACACTCTAGTACTGCCATTCTTACCAATTGTATTGAACAACACATGGACCTGGAGAATGGCATACTCCCCACTGAAACCAAAGAAAGGGAACATGAAAATAAATCATTACTTGAAGACAGGAATTAAATGTAGACCATTCTTTGACTCTAATGAGCCAGTGTTAGTCTTTTATATATGTACATGATCTATAAGTGTATGTATCAAGACACGTGCCTTATACAGACCTAGTTCAGTCTAAATTGCATAGCATCCTAGAATATTTCACTGTGCCATAATGACCGAAGCTTGCTCTGCCAAAAGAAATCACAGATAATACACTGGAGAATGGCATATGAAGGTGGAGTATTGACAGTGTCAGCCTACACTGTATGCTTACAAGGGGGGGGAAATTCCAAAGGAAGATGGTAATGCAACTGGAAAGGCGAACAGCGTGATAGGAATGCATGAGAACAAAGGCAGACGCATTAGAAGATCATTTGGGAAAGGAAGCAATGGAGCTGGCATGAGTCTTTCCAGTGGATTGCAAGTTCCTTCTCTCACTGTTGAATACTTTTGATTCAAAAGTAAAATAAGAGGCTGAACTGTCAACTTTAAGGCAGCGTTTCTGTTTTGGCATAGGATCCAAGTATGAGTGTTCCCTCATTTTATGTTTTGAAAAATCAATGAGCCTTCAGTGATCCCTGCTCCCCAAATTAAAAGGTTTTTATGCACAAGAAAAGTATCTGGATGCTGGGATGATATCAGTAAAGACAACAGAATGCCTTTTTCAGAAACAAGAAAAGAAAACGTAAAAACAGCTCATTGTGAATATTTGTTATGAAAAATGAAAAAAAAAATGTAAAGGGAAAAATGATGAAAAACTTCTGCCTTTGGAAGAAATTCATCTTATAAACTAATACTATGCTGGGGGGGAAACTTCAAAATTTGAGCAACTGCGGAGTTTTAGGAAGGAAAAATATAATCTTGTGCTTGGGTCAATAACCAGTGAAGTTCTTTTTTTAAAAAAATGTGATCATACTTTCTATCCCTGAAGGAGCTTCAGTTTTAATATTCTAATACGCTAAAAATAGAAAGTGAAACCTTGCATGATGTCAACAGTTTGCTATTCTCTGTAGCAGAAATTCATTAAAAAGATATGTCATATACAATGTATACTAAAGGGTGGAGCAACTTCCAAACCTCAGGGCTTTGTGTCCCTATTGGTGGTTAAGCTTAAGGTAAGAGAAAGACAGCTGTCCAAACTTCCAGGATAGTAAGAAGGAAACTGGTGGTAATGTTTTTTAAGTGCTTAGAGCTTTAAGTGCGATTAATAACTTCATATTGTGAAGTCTTTAATCACTTATTTTTTAAATACCTTCCTTTAAAGTTTAAGTTTTTTTTCTTATTTGATCCTTCTCTCCACAGAAACTGAGCAAATTCACTTTTAGTGTTATACCAAATAAGAAAACGCTATCACCTATGTGTTTGTTGTTCTTTCCATGAATAAATGGGGAAAGCACAAATAGTTTCAGATTTCAAAGCAGATGTTAAATGAAAACGTAGGAGAGAGTTGATTAGTTAGAATTATAATGATTGGATCTCTCTCTCTCTCTGAATGGTTGTGTGTCTATGTGAGATGAGGAAAGAGAAAAAGAAATTAGTTCTTGGTGAATGAGTGAATGGAAATTTGCTTGGAATACATATGCAGATTGACATACATTAGCATCCTTCAGATACCATTCAGAGAACATCTGTAAATACTATAGAGTTCCCCAAATACTATTTGTAATGTTTTTAAAGGATGCCAAAGCCATTGCTGCACTTTTTAATTTTCCTGCTTTCATATGATCAGCCCAACATAATTTATGGAGAGTGTATTTGTAATGCTGCCATTTGAAGCATCTCAGTTGTTTGCACCAGTCTATAGTTAAAGAAATCTTTAACTCCTTCTTTCTTTGCTATTCCTGTCTAATTCATAAAACCATGAAGATGTAGACCCGGGATCAAATCCTTGTTCAACTACAGAGCTTACTGATTGCCTTGGGAGTTTCTAAGTTTGCACAATGATTATCAGAAAAATAAAAGATGAACTGAGAGAGACACATATGTACCATCTTGATCATCTTGGGGTAAAGATGTGACAGAAAACACTTTTTTAATGTATTGTCCACTTGACAGGTTAAATAAAAGTCCCATTCTCTCAAGCTAAAATTAACTTTCAGTATGTGGGTATTGGACATTGTGTTCCATGATACCAAAGGTTGCAGGTTAAGGAAACCTGCAGCTAATAAATAATGGAAGAGAGCTTCCACCATCAATTCCCCCAAAGAAGGCTCATGCTGTTCTGCATCTTTGTTCGCAGCGAGATAGAAAACTTGGAGCAAAGAAGAGAACTGTAAGAAAACCACAATGCTGCTAACGGGAGCTACACCACACATAATTTAAATTCCACTTTGTGTAAATCTTAATCTGATAATCATAGGTGTCAAAGAATTCTATGCAGGAGAGCGTGCAGGAAAATGGAGAAGAGATGGAATATGATGTCCTCTGTTCCAGGTATGGAAAATAATGAATTTAGGATACAGCTGAAGACTGTAGGATAAATGGTCTTCTGTTCCCAGCAGCTACTAACATTTGACAGTTTATTATATTTTCTGTATGAATCCAGAAGCCCAGTTAGTCCAATATACAGTTTCTGCCTTTACAAACTAGATGCCTAATAGGCATCTGAAAAGTAGGACATGAGAACCATCAAATTCTATAGCTTGTATTTGCCATGGAAGGTTTTTAAAATTTTTACCGTCATAATCTTAATTTGGATGAAAATCATTCCCACACACACAGACATGTACACAAGCTAGATTTTCCTTAGGTGAGAATTTAGTCCAGGTGTCATGATATATGAAAATGGATTGACCTACTTGTGTTCACCACAGTACATTGTGGCTTTCAGTTTAAAGGAATACACGAAACAGATTCATATTTCTGTTGAGTGAAGAAGTTGCAATGTACCACATAGGAGGCACTTGGGACTGGATACAGAAACCTTTGTGGCCAGAATGGGATGATTGGCTGTTAGATTGACATTTTTTGGACAAGCAGCCTGAAGCCAGATGGTTCAGAATATGACAGATAAAAGGAGAGTGATGCTGTATAAAGTCATATATTAAAAATGCAGAGTGATGTCACTTCCGATGCAAACCTTTTTTAAAAAAGGCAATCCTTCTTTACAATACTTGAAATCTGTGGATTTAGAGAACCAAGATAGCTGCTAATGCTGCCCAGTGTTCTGCATAAGCAGAGACTGGGAATTAGTTTAACATGCAATTTTGTATGGTAGCCTTGAAAGGAGAGTACAGACTAATCTAATTTGCTCATATGAATCTGATGTTTTAATTTTAAATGCCTGATCTTTCAAACTTTCAGACTTGGAACGTGTAACATTTTAGGAAAATAAAG